TAATTGGAAAATGATTGTCTAGTTTCTCCAAATTGGGAAGTTAAAAAAAAAAATTATAATTCTGTGTGGACATACCCAAAAATCTTTAATAAAAATCAGAAATAAAAGGAGTTCAGAGCACAGTCAACAGAAGGAATCACCTGGGAGATGGAAGACTCAGGTTCAAAAGCCTCTTCTGCGCTTGATCAACTTTATATAATAAAATAGGCCTATACACAAAAACAGTATTTGCACAAAGGTCCTGAAGGCTAGACACATTATGTTTCAGGTGAGTGTCCTGAACACACTATCTTCTGTCTTCATATTGCTCTCTGTGGCTTTATCCAATCCTTCCTGGATCCATAAAGCCTTTCCTTATCCCCTCGGTGTTGAGTAGTTCTCCTACAATGTCAGAGGAGCAAGTTAATGCACAACAGTGACTCCAACCCAGAGTTCACTGAGGTTGCCCTCAGCATGGACAGCAAGGCAAGCAGCCACTTACATTCAAAAATTGAACACTCACTGAAATAATTCCTAAACTTCTTATTCTTCAGGATGGCAACCACTGCCTCCAAGACAAGCTAGCTAGTGTTCAGTTGTTCAGCTTTTATTTTCCACTTTAGGACATCTCCTTGCTTTCCTCCCCTATCTAGCTTACTCCTTCATGATGAAAAATGGCACCAGCTCCAGCTGTTAAGGCTTCCTAGCATGAGAGACAAAGGCAGAAGTCAAATGCTTTCTGGTTTCCAACCGTTCAGTATGGACTGTGCAACGCTTTCTGGGCAATGCAAACACTGATGACCAGCTTGATTGCTTTTGTAAACTACCAGTTCATGCTGCTACCAATGTAAAAAAAAAAAAAATTATTTAATTTGTAAGCGAAGTTTGATGTCTACGTACACTGAAAATAAAGATAATTGTTAATGACTAAGGACAGCATACAAGGCAAAAATCACATTTTGTCAGAAGTACATGAGTACCATATACCATCCAATGTACACTGCTACACAAAACAGCTTATTCAAGCATATTTCAAAGCCTGTTACTGATAATCCAGGAGTGTAAGTACTAGATCACTCCATATTCAGCAAAATGTTGCAAAAAAAAAAAAAAAAAAAGGAAAAAAATGGCTGTTTTGGTTTCTGCTTGGTACCATAGGATAGGTGCTTTGGCATTTGGCAAAATTTCAATTTGTGTTTTTCACTAAACAAATTATCATAGATTTCATTTGTATTACTAAAGCTCAAGTTTGTCATTTACACTAACACTATAGCAGTCAGTCATTCAGTTTTGAAATACACTGAATACACCAGTGAATCTAAGGAGACACAAACCCCAAAAGAATCCAGGACCATTTGTGGCTTTTTTCTTAAGTACGGATTGAGATTTATTTATTTTAACTGAGAAATCCTCCACATGGTTTCCAAACTTGTGGCATTGGTTAGGAAATAGATGTAGAAACTGAGAAATGCCAAGGAAGCTCTTCTAACCATGAGTCACCAGTTTACATCCTGTACTTTATACAGCAAGCAACGCACTCAAAGAAGGAAGCATGTTAGGAACTATTAAATATAGATGGCAATTATGTGAAAATCATGTGGTCATATCTGACTTCAACAAGGATCAGTTGAAAATCTTCTAGAGAAAAAGGACTGGGTGTTGCTTCACCAGATAAATTTGGTAGAGCAATGTTTTTTCTGAACAATCCTGTTTGGCACAGAGTATGAGAAATAGCAAGGACCGACTTCCAGTCCACAAAATGAGAAAAGAGCAGTGGATTTTGGGAGCATCTTTATTGTGTCAGACTGAAACACTTCAAATTACGTTTCATAATTACTTCACATGCCTTTCTATAAAATAAGGGTGATAGAAGTGGCAGCAGCAGATACTAAATACTGTTTCTAAACATGTGAACTAGAGAACAGTTTGTGTAACCTACATCTTCCAGTGTACCTTTGAAACATGCAAGTTTCAGGACTCCATGATGATCATTCCACTCTAAAGGCAAATTAGCCTCAAGAATGCAGCTACTCTTGAGTTGCATAGATTTTCTGTACTTTTAACAACGTCTAAAGGAAGGAATCCTTATTTTAGCCAAGATGCTAGAACACAACTTATTTTAGCCAAGATCCTAAACCACCTTACCTCCACAGAGCCAGAAGGCTCTCAGCTCTCAGTACTCATGACAGCACTTAAGCTGAGGTTGAGTTTATATACTTTACAAGCATTTTTTCAGAGTGGAGGTTGTTGCTCAATTTTGTATACTTGACTTTATCAACAGGGCTTATACAGACATTGTCTTGCAGTATAGAGCCAAAGAAGTTATAGGTTGTTAGGGAAACGATTCATCAATAGGTAGGTTCATGCAAAATTCAAAAGGGCTTTTTTCCCCCCTCTTTTGTTTCTGGAGAACAGTCCGAGAAATCCAAGTGATATCTTTCTTATATGAATACTTCAGATAGCTAGCTAAACAGAAGCAAGATTTGGCATTTAGCCTGGGATTAGTGTGAACAGCCTCTTAACCAAACATTATGAAGAAAGTTAACTTTAAAATGCTTTGAAAGGTCTGTTTTCATGACAGATGGTAATAAGGGCTCATCAGTGCCAATTTTTTTTGTTTCCACCTCAGTTTTCAAAAGCTTAAGTTTTAGATTAGTGCTTTTGAGAAACCTCTATTCCTCTATTACATGCATAGAGGAAAAATGCAAATTACAAAATTAGATTACTCACTATTTTTATTGTGTGCAATGTATTTTTCTAAACAACACTAACATATGAAGGTAAGAGTTTGACCGTGCGCTTAACAGACCACTTTCCCTTTCTGTTTACTAGAATCCCTCTTTTTTTTTTGCCAGCTATTTCTGCTTTAATCTTTATCTGTACACCTGGACAGTTATGCCTCTCCCCACAGACCCCAAAACATACAGCAGTCAGTAGCAGGTAGAGGTTTTGTTTCTATAATACACTCACTAGGGAAGACATGGTAGAACTATATTTTATTCAAGAAAACCCACACATTCTGTCCTGTGGTGACCACAGGCTTTGCTAAGCCATAGATATCAGCAAATACTGGAACAAAATACAGTGTATCAGATTGAATCAAAGCATTTAAATTCTGAATTACAGTTATAATTTTCAGGGAAGGCTAGTTTCAGAATTGTATCATAGTATCTAGTACAATATTGTGCAATGTAAGTGGCAGAAACAGAAATGGAATATTGGTCCTAACAAAAACCGAAATGTAATGACTTTTGTATGACATTTAAACTGTCAAGACAGCAATTCATAACATTCTACCAAAGGCAGCATATAGTTACAAAAATACTGGTCCAGCATCTTGTTAGTGGTGAAGCAATATCCAAGGTGCAATGGCAATGTGCCATTCTTAGTGAAATATTTTTTAAAAAACTATTTTTTCTATTTTCCCCGCACTGATACTAGCTGAACACCAAAACTGCTATGACAACCTGAAAGAAAGTCACTACTTATCATGTGTATTGCACCAAAGATTTATGCAAAAACACAAGTTGAAGTATAAAAGAAGCAAAATGTAATAGAACTATGAATATTGCCAAAAGACATTTCACTGCAACTGATCTTGGATGAGCAGGTTGCAACATCTATTGAGATTTAAACAATTGTCCAAGCTTGCCCATTCTATCCATTATCTTGAACTTAAGGATGCAAAGGTAAAAGACAAAGTCCTTAATATTGAGAACAGAATAAAATCACTTTATACTCCTCTCCATTCACCCACAAAATAAAAATATTCCGCACTCCTCTCCTCCCAATACTCCAGTAATTTCAAAGTCAAGCCTTGGAATTACCGTTGTTTTGATATTGCACTGTGTTAGGATTGTATTGTTTCCATCTAGAAGTTAATATATAGTACGAGGGTGACCAAAACTGCTGGAGACAGTAGACCTGCTTAACTTGTGGAGGTATCCCAAGAAATATGCATCAGATGGAGACAAAATCTAAATGGCAAAGCGTACTGCAGACTTGGCTGTGGTCTGGACTTGGGCCAAAAATACATTAGCCTGCCTGCCGTTTCCTTCAAGAAAACAGCATCAATTACATTTTAACCAAAAGACAAAGTTGAGTAAAGATCAGGTAACCATGTCACATCCAATGTTACATCCAACGACACAGAAATGAAGGAGTAGCAGACAGGAATATTAATCATATTTTCCTTTTAATAATGGTTTAGTCAAAAGTGTAGCTTTGAAAATCTCTAGCTAGTTGTGAAAACCTGAAGAAGCTGTGAAGCGACCTCACTTTGAACAGTACAGTTTAAAGCTGTGGCTTGGCCTATCTGCTTTCAAACTCTCCAGTAGCACTGCCAACCTTGTAAATAAAAGCTACTGCCTGGAAATAAAAAGAAGTCTGCCTTTAAAAGTTGGTGTATGTTGTATTGTAGCAGCCTAAGTCTGACTGAAGAAGAAAGATGAGACATTTTTATACAGTAAACAAAAGACAAAGTAAACTGAAATCTTCAGAGATCACTTTAAGTGTATACAATTTGGATTCTCATCAACATTTAAAACTACCAATCATAAGGTTGCCACCTTACCTTTTTCTGGACTGGCATACCTGATTTTAAACAGGTTTTCCTCCACTCTCCCAAGTTTCTGATCCTCTTATCCAGTTTTCTGCTATACTGCTCTCCCACCTTCATGCTGAATACCGAGTCAGTCCTGCCTTCTGCTTTTCTTGGCAGGAGGCAGAGCAAGCTTTTAATTTCGGTAGTCAGAGTGACAGAACAACAAAAGCAGATAGAAGAGCTTAATTCTTCCCCAGGAAGAAAATACATTTGGTTCAACAAAGGGCTGCAAAATCTTCCAAAGGCACCTCTTTCCCCAGTTTTTGCCTGAAAGCAAGATGGCAATCTTAATTGAAAAGGGATGCTAAATCTTTTAAATAACTTAAAAATTCATTTTTATATAAAGCAGCAAAAACATTTTTCTCTGCAGAAAGAGAAATGTTAACAAAGAAACACACCAACATAAATGCACTGTTCATAAACTTCAGCTAATTAAATTTCACAAGAAAGTAAAATTTTAGGACTATTCTTTAACCTCATCAGTACTTTCTGAAGAAGATTCTTTGGCATCTTCAGTCTCTCTGTTCCTTTTCTCCGTATTTAGATTTTCACTTTCTGATTTGGTCCCATTAAAAAGAGAGTTTTCACCATTTACAAACCCATTCTCTGTGACTTCAGCATCAATAGCTTCATCAATCTTTAAGTCCCCTTGCTCTTCCACATCTTCTAGGTTTCTCAAGACAAGAGGGAGTCTAGAGTCTGCCACAGTGTTCTCCAACAAGGCAATATTGCTCTCTTCATATTTAGGAAGCGGAGCTCCATCTGCCATTTGTTTGGTATAATACTCTCGGCTAGCAGCTGCACTCTTTACTGCTTTCTCCAAGATCTCTTTTTCACCTAAGCGCAATTTGATAGCCATTATCGCATGTGAAGTAAGGTCATGGGTCTCCAAGAAGGACTTATCATCCTGTTAGAAAAGAAAAAGCAAGTTTGTTAGTAATAACCAACACAATAAAAAAAAAATCCATCAACTTTTCTCTCTGTGCGTTAACAGTAAGTGACACTAGGTTCTTCAGGCTGAGCCAAATGGACATATATGAATGAGGGGGTCTGCATGGAGTCCCAGTAAAATTTGTCAACAATTCATAAAGAAGCCAAAAATTTCTCCACATAGACCAGCCTGCACAAGGGAAGTCAGGAGGCTTCTCAAATATATGAAACATGTAGGTTCACTTATATGCTCACAATAATAGCACATTTCTTTGCAGTCTGGAGAATGCAATTAATAGACAACAAGTTCAAACTGATTCCCCATTTTACTTGCAGAGAAAAAGTAGGTAGCCTCTATTTGGAGAATCAAAGAAAAAATACATTAACAAAATTACATTAACAAAATTTTCATTTTTGCAATCTTATTTGATTTTCCTTAGATAATGCAAATCTGTTTCTACACTTTAAAAAGTACAGAATGAATTATGTACTAACATTTAGATTAAAGTTTGTAAAGACAAGATGGGGGACAAAATATCTCTTCCTACAATCATAATACAAAACGTTTCAGACATTTAAATTACATATAATGATAATTTTACCTCCACAGTTGTTTTATAGGTTTTCAAAAGAAGGGATGCTCTAGCTTCTAGGAATGTCCAAAGTTTAACTTCATTGTCCCAGCTAATGGGAAACTCAGAGTTCCCCAGAGTGAAGATTTTGTCAATGGCATGCTCGCCTATCAAGTGTTCCTTCAGCTCTTCTGCAATAAGTATAAAACCAGTCTGTTAAAAACAATCTCATCACTCACTTTGTCAGTTGACAAACTGCAGAAAGATTTATTTTCAATAGTATAGCTTTGAGCAGCTAACAAAAAAAACCTCTCCTCAAATAAGAATTATCAGATATGCTGGTTATATCTAGGATTCTCCTCAAAGAGGCAACTGGAAGTCTTGAGGTTAGCAGAAAATGGACCTTCTGCTCCACTCTGAAATAAAGATACTTTATATATCATAGCCTCTCATACACAGCGTAACTCTGTGAGAGTGAGATGGAATGTTTTGTATAATACTTAATAAACAAAAGGGAGTAATTCTTTAAAGAGTTCAGAGAACTTTTTGATAATAGAAGGAACAGGCCAGAGAGCGTGCAAATAGCAATGGAATTATTCTTCCTATTGTTTTGGTAATCTTTTTTAGTAGCAGAAACTACCTGCAGTTGGTCAGAAAAGACATACATCAAACGAACCTCACACAGAGTAGAAAATGTTTAATCAGCTCCTTGACATTACACGAATTCCATTAATCTTTTAATTACCAGATTTCACTCCTGCAAAGCAGCTATCACAAACTTCACAAACAACTTGCATATAGTTTCTCAATAAACAGTTTTCTTATACAGTATTTAAGACATATGAACAATCTAAGCAAAATCATATATCAGAGTAATGCAATTAAGATGTTTACTAGTTGTGTTCTCTTCTCTGAGCCAAAATTCACCCCCTCATCAGCATCATAAAATTGTCTTTACTTGAATTTACTTCCCCGAAGTGGTCAGGCAGTTAGACTAGATGATCATTGTAGGTCCCTTACAAGTGAACTATCCTATTCTATTCTAATTTCTTAATAAGTTCTAAAAGATGGATGACAGGATGCAGTGAATAAGGTAGTTTGTTTTTATTAAAGAAAGCAAATAGAGCACATGCAAAAACTTAACAACTTCAGTATTCCTACTGGTATTAAAATCCACATCATCTGCACAGCATCCCTAACTGCAAGGGAATTCTCTCACTGTCATGAAAAACTGTCACATCTATAACCTCCAAAACTGCATCTAACCAGCAAGCAGCTATTACAAACATTTAATCAGAAATTTTACATGCACAAATTAGGTGAATATTTATTAATTGTACATATATTTTCCCCATAAAACCCCCTAACATAAGAGCAACTACAAAGACAGTTTGCAAATACGTAAGTTGGTTTTAGATTATGAGTTACCAAAATATTGAAAATACTCAACTTTGAAATGTCTCTTTCATATTTCTCCTACAGTGCAGAATATTCCAATTACATACCTAAATGATTCTAGCAGTGATGCCTAATATGCTATGATTTTAAGCATGGTCTCACATGGTCTTGTTCTGTGGACCCCTAGGTCTCACATGATCTTGTTCTGTGAACCATATTTAAACTTAAGAACTAAAGGTCAAGCTCCAAAGCTCACTCATTCACAACAGCGTGGGAGATTAAAAAAAAAAAAAAAAAAATTGCATCACCTCATGCTTTAGGAGTTCCAGAAAAGCCTATGTTACTGAAATATTCCCTCAGACAACATGGCCAAAGATTGGGTTTCTCAATCTTATTGAGATTTCTCAATCTTATTCTCAATCAAGCTTATAGATCCCTTTTCAACCTCAACTTTTCCGATCTTCTAGCTTAACGTTATATATAAATGTCTATCACGTTCTTGCATTAAAAAAAACAAACAAAAAACCCCCCAAACAAACATAAATTAGGTTGTCTTTATAAAACCTCTTACCTTCACTCATACAAAACACTCGAAGGAAAGCCAAAAGCTGGGCAGAGATCGGAGGCTCAGTGGAGTGCAAGGCAAAAACACTAGAACTAATAAAAAAACCCAATCAAACAGCAACAGTAAATGCAAGTTCTATTGTCACACCTTTGAACTTATTTCAACATAAAAGACTTTAAAGTGTACAACAAATGCACTGTTACAAAAGTAACTTTTAAAAAATTAGGTAATACTAGTTCAAACTGAAGAAAAGCTTCCTAACCTGTATCTGAAAAGAACAATTATCTCTACAATTTTACACTTACAATTATTTTTATACGGCTTTCATAATAAATTCATGAAAATGCAATGTTTCACGTCTGCTGCTCCTAACAGTACCCTCTGGACTGAAAAGACTAAAGGAAAATGCTGTGGTTCACATACTGAGCATCGTAGTATGTCTGCAAGGGATAGGAAAGAAAGAAAAACCACAGATTGCTTCAAATTAGTCCTTGCTCTGTTTTTGTTCAAATGGTTATTAAAGCAAAGGCTTTTTTCCTCATATATGGTCCAAATTAGACAATAATATAGCTCAGAGGACTTCTGTAAATATTATTACAATAACTTTAATTTGCTACACAACAGGAGAAATATTACACCTAAGAAAACTATCACAGAACAGCTTTATATATGCTCTAGTGGACACTATATAATTTAGAAATGTTTTAAAAAAACCATGGCATTGTGTTTTACTTACGTTGGGATACCAGCACGAGCTAAGACCTCTGCCTTCATAGCATACAGCCTGTCACTTTTACTCACGCCAAGTTTTATTTTCACTCTGTCATGTGAATTATTATCAAAGAAAAAACCACTGTGGATCACAAATTCAGCGTTTGACCGAGTGCCATAAAAAATGTAAATCTAGAAGGATGAAAAGAGAAGTGAAGGGACAGGAAAAAAGCTTAAGATCAGCTCACAAAACTGACATAATTTGAAAGTTATTTCCTGAAAGAGTTACTATTCTGAGTACAAGGTATATTTGGTTATATAAAGAAACACGTTTTGTTTTCTGGTATCGATTCAAATGCCATATATAATCTGGCAATATACTTCAGAGGTAGATGTAAACATATCCATGTAACAGAGACTTTGAAAGGAGAGAAAAGGTTCTTATTCTATACTTTAAAATACAAATGCTTTGTTTTCTCACACTGTCATAAAATATCAGTATATGGAAATAAGCTTTCAAAGACCCTATGCCTTTTAAAGGCTAAAAAATCTGAAACAAGGAGGGCCCATTAAAAGAAACGGTGTTTCTGGGGTTATTTTCCTCCCCATATGTCCACCCAAAAGAGTAACCTACGCTGCTGATGGATCAACTTTGCTTTTGTTTTAATGTTACCTTAAAGCATGGATATACCAAAGTATATCATACAGAGATATCTGATCTGTGTTCAGCCAGTATTTATTTTTGTGTTATACTCTGAACTCTTTATCTAAAGCAAATAGGTTACTTTAATTCACATTAAAAAAGAAGTTCCTAAATATAACCTGCAAAAAGTGTTTAATTCAGGGCTAGGCTGTATGAAGTACATGGGACAAGAGGTCAGAGTAGCAATTGTCTTCTCCAGAATCAAGAGGATTTTTTCCCCTTCTGTTTGGTAACAGAATTGTCAATCAGAAAAAAGTTTCAACAGTTACAGAACTCCCTTCTTAACCTTAGGGTATAGCAATGCTCTGGGTACTTGTAAGCTTCACTACTCTCTAGCTGACGGAGAAAGGCACAGTGTTCTCTTAAGGGCTCAACAACACTAATGATACCATTTACTTTCTTTGTTTTCAATTTTAGATTAGAACTATTTATCCTAAGCACTAAATGCTTAAGCGTTTTATTAAATTATAGTAAACATTATATTGTAACATACTCGTATAATGAATAAGTGACCTGCCTAGGTATGTTAAGGCAGTGGTTAAGGAGACAGTTGCTAACCCTCTCAAGTTTTAAAACTACTGTGATACATCTCATATTAAGCTAAAAGTTACATATCATGTGTAGATTATACAGTACGCTCTTACACTCTAAGACTGTTTTACAAAAAAGCCAATTAAGAAGAACGAGAAAGTTGCTTTATTCAAGGCCAGTGTTTGATAAGATTCTGTGGACTTCTGCTGCCTCACATTTTTCAGTAGTAAAAGCAAGGATCATACACTCTTCCATGTAAGAAATAATATCTGCACAGTATATTAAAAGACTGAAGCATTATATAATTAAAGTGCTTTAATGATGTCGGTAACAGTTAAAGTTTGCACAGAAATTAAAAAAAAAAATCTGATAAATAGCAGACAAAGTGAAACTAATAAAATAAAATCGAAATAGAGGAAGCCTCTATAATTGAAATGGAGAGAGCAGCCAGAACAGCTATATGACACATCCATTGCCAGCTGTGGAAAATTATAAATTGGATCACTTCTGGAAAAACTGTGGACCCCTTTTAACTCTACATACCAGTATTGGAAAAAACAGCAAATATCTGACTACCATAACAAATTCTAAGAGCAACACAAAAAATATACAATCACTGTAAACCCCAGCATAGCAATGAGGATAAATATACCTCTGGAAAGACATACTTTAAAAAATTTTTCAGACACATCTTTGTTAAAAAAAAAGGTAACAACACATAAGAAAAGTGAAAATCAAAATATTATTGTCCTGGTTTCAGCTGGGATAGAGATAATTAAGTGTAAGAGTTTATTAAGTGTAAGACTGGCAAAATAACACACTAAAGGTAGTAACTGAGAGACTGAGTTACAAAACACTTCAGAATGTTTCATAGACAAAGTCTTTTTCTGGCCATGCTGACTGCAGTTGCACAAGCAGCAGGAAAAACGGAGTGCTACTACGCTTGAGGGCTTAGGCTGGCTGCTAAAACAGCACAGGAGCCCTCCAACCAGAGATCTCCTACACTCCTGGAACCACCGTCTTCAATGCATCACTAGTTTTAACACTCCTTTCTTAGCAGTTCTGAACAAAATACTGGATTCTGAACTGTTCCATGCATTTTTGCAAGACTTGCCCTTTGGTACTTTCTGTTTCAGAATGAAGGGGTACATGTGTACATGCCTGTGTAAAAGGGGAGAAGTATATGTTTAGGTCCTTTCTCATTTTCACTGAGCATGGGAATGGCAACATGGGTAAAATGACTGGCAACTATGCTGCATTTAACCTCTTGTTAAATGAAGACTAATGAGAAACATAAACCAACAACATTTTTAAGAAAGACACTACAATCTGCTATTGCAGACAAAGTGACTCCCCAAATCTAAAATACATTTATGTTTGGTCCCTTGGATATGACCTTTTATTAATCTCATTCAGAATACCAAACTCAGTGTCTGTGTATGTGCATTTACCAGTGATTAAATATTTCAACTAGTTCTCTAAAATATAGGAATCAAAACTCTCCTAAAGTTGGGGTCTACCAAGCAACAGAAAATATTTTGTTCTGAAAAATGTGCACTTACTTAGTTTGGTAGCACTTTCATACAAAATTAGGGCAGCATAATAAAATTCAAATGTAGCAGGGCTTAGTCCACACCACTCTGCTATTAAAATTTTGTAGGGAGTTACCAAATGTCCCAAAACTTAATTAAAGAACAATTATATAGATAATTGTTCACGCTACCTGTTCTCCAGCCTTGAAATCTTGAAGCGCTACACATTCACACCGATCATCTTCTAAATTGTAGCCTGTAGTGATCTATGCAAGGAAAAAGTAACAAAAGCACTGTTAGCATTTTATCTTTATCTCCCCCACCATTGACAAAACATTGTCCTATTGGAAATAGATATTAACAATAGCAATTGCATACATTTCTTTCTCTGCACAATATAATATAACTGGTAGTAATTGTTTTACAATTCCTGAGCAATCTCTTTTTTAAAAAAAATCTCTGCATTTAAGAAAGCTAAGGGACGAAATAACTTACCTGCAGTGAATGGAAGGCTCTGAGGAAAGTACCCTCCATAGACCACAGACAGTCCCGTGCTACAGCCGGCAGCTTGTTATAAAGTTCTGGAGTTTTCAGTCACTCCCATGAGGCCCAAGGGAGCAAGGCACTGACAGCTCTATATGCTGTGCTTTATCCTTCAACTGCCAGCGCATTTTTGATCTCTCAATGAAAAAGGATTAGATAACTGTGGATCTCCAGGGGATACAATCTTCAGAGAATTATAATTTACTTGCAAATAATCCCTTTATCTAAAGTTAAGTAATACTCTTAAAACGCTAAAAGGATTTTTTTGATGGTAGCAGGCAATGGAAGAGGATAAATTCTCTTAACAAACCTGTACTTCTCCAAAAAAAATTACAAAACCGTACAGTGGTCACACTAACAAGTAAAGCTATCCTAAAAATGTAATACTTTAAAAAAGTGACAAACAGCATGTTCTTGAATAGTATTACCAAAGATGCAGGCAGATGCAGCCACAGGATGGACCATAAGCTGCTGAACAATCAGGAAGCAACTTTTATGGTAGGTATTCTGAATTCACTACTGACAGAGCTAATTTATTGAAAAATATGCTCTGTGCCTGGGGAAAAACCTAGAAGGAGCTGAAGATTCTCTCTCAACCTTTGTAAATGAAAACATACTTGTTTGTAAACTGACTTATATGTGAGTGACAGTATACCCTGATTCCTGTCTTGGATGCAGTTTGTCCAAAGATAGAACTCCATGGATTATTTTGAAAGCTTGGTTGATGGTTTACACGTTAGTAGTTTTACGCTGCTTGGATCATCAAGCATGCATTTGTCAGCCCAAACAGTGCTTTCAAAGTGAGCATGGGGAGCTTGTCTACGATGCAGCAAATCCAAAATGGCAGCCACAAGCGCGGGCAGCCTGGCCCTGTGCAGGCTTGCAGAACTGCTCTGCATGCGGACGCTATCACTTCAGATCTATTAATGGGTTTGTGGTATGTTGAGATCAGAAGAGAACACAAGAGTCGTGCAATACAGCCTACTGCAAAACACAGGCTGTAGTACTTGAACACAAATTCCTGTACATTCACTATGCTGGACTAAACAATTTTTAATTAAGATCTCTCATTTAGAAGGTTATCTAACCCTGAATTGCGGGTTGCAAGTGCTAGAGGATTTACCTTCGCTATGACAAATGTACCTTCTGAGTTCAAATACAGTCATCTTGGGAAAAACCACAACTTCCATTCAAAAAAGGGAACTCTTGACAGCACTTGACCTGTCCTGAAATTTTCTTAGTGTGTAAACTCAATTAAATACTTCTGAATGTGAAAACTCCATTCCAGTTTCCTGAAATGCCGGTGGAACAGGAGGCTTTCGAGGACAGGGGAAATTCCAGTATGTTAAGAGAAGGATTCTGTCAGTTTAAGCATGCTTCACTCGAGTACTGCTCATTTTTGGGATTGTTTTTTATTTTTGTCTTTTTAAAACAAAACAAAACAAAAACAACCCAAAAAACCAAAACCAGCAGCGCTTCCGAAAGGCTTTTCTATAAAGCATAATGGAGTGCTAGACTCTTTATTTCCTCTTTCTTTTAATAGCAGTCATGTAAGAGAATTAACAGGGTGTTTACTTCTCTTCCCACATGATAGCTGACAAATTGCATCCCTTCAGTTTTATTTCTGAAACAGACTGATACACGAATTTCAAGTTGTGTATAAAGCATGCCGTAGTCTCCTTGGTCAGTGATTAAGGATGGACCCAGCCCAACAGGCAGAATGCAGCTTATTCAAAGCTTTGGCAGAACTGGTAATCAACCTCTGACTGTCAGAATACAATCCCACTAAAGAATAACAATGAGAAATGCATGAAGACAACCATTTTGATAAAGTTCTTAGAGGCAGGTTGATCTAATTAATAGTGTCAGAAGCAAGAAAAAGCTGGATGGACCTAGCTCCAGTTAAAACCCAAAGAGCATTTTATTATCTGGCTCATGGAAAGGGGCCCTGTGGAATAAAGCAAGAACAGGGATCTGTAGTAGCTGATTGACTCAAGAAGTATTTCGGCACTACATTTGGAATAGACTAGACAGGAGCGCATACAATGCCATCTTTTGTTTCTTACTTTCCTGCAATGAAGAACAATTCCCTTCATGTGTTTTAAAGGGATGCACTATGATTAGAGCAGAACCCACCCTCATCTCACTCTACAATAATATAAACTACAATACAGACAGCTTACAGTTATCTTAGCAGTTTTTCTCCCTATTTCAAAGAAACTGACACACAACAGAAATAGGTTTAGTAGCTTTTCTTAGCCCATTATCAATATAACAGTTGTCTCTCCTTCTTAAATCTATAACCATCTAAACTAGTTTCTGTAGAAATATGAAACAAATGAGTAAGTCTGTATATACATACAAAATGTTTAATTTCAGCACCCCCACCACCCCACTACCCTTTAGGATACACTTCAGCATTAAAAAATGCTTCCAACCCTGACATACTACTGCACTAGCAGGTTTGGCTCCAGAGGCTGGCTCCATATCAAACCCATTGTTAAAGAGCATAATGAAAATAAAAATTATTTTATCAATTTAAATGGAAGTTTGAATGTTTAAAACAACGTAACTAGCTGCTCTTTTAATATAGGCTACTTAATTTTTTCCCTCCCAGAACCTTAATTCTCTTCCTCTTTCCTCTAATCCCAACTTTGAAGGCATTCATTACGAATTGTCTAATGAATACAGACAAGTCTCTGCAAAAGCATCTGAAATAGATGCCCAGCAGGAAAAGGGTACAGGAAGTACTGATACTTGCAGCTAAGACTTATATTACAAAAATATACATTTCTGAATTTTAAGCAATTTTCTTTACATTGGAGACTCTCATACAAGCTTTATTGCTAAATTGAAGTTATGAGATTGTATAACAAATAGTGAAAGGCAAGAATCACTGTTAAAGAACAACATGTAATCACCTTTTAATAGAGAAAAATAAATGAATAAAAAACCCCAAACACTTGCAACTTTGTAGCCTAGCGTACCATGCTGTATTTGGTACAGTCATAGTAACAATAAAAGCTAAATGTCAAGTGAAAACCAACTTGCTTTACAATTTGTTCATTTAAACCAGGCTTTTTTTTATACCAAAAATACTAACACATGCTGCTGTCCTAACATTCAGGTCAACTCTCCCACAAAAGAACCAGATTACTTGAATAGTATGGTCATATTCACTGCTTACAATTAGAGGGCATGAATTCTGAAGCGTACATGAAACTGGCTAAGTAACATTGATAAACCATCCTCTTACGGGTTTCTATTTCCTCACTTCAACATTAACTAGCCTGTTAACAAAATCAAGACCTCATCTTCTGAACTAACTCACGTAAGCCAAAATGTCAGCAGGTCTGACTTTCTATATACATGTCACCTTTTAAATGTTTAATATGCCCTAAAGTAGTATTTTTGCATTTTGTTTCTTTGATGTAGTAACAGATGTACTGTTTTTGTTGAACTAGGCTTTGTTCTTGTTGTTGCTGTCTCCATAACAAGGCTCTTCGGGCATGGTTAGGAAAGCAGGCAGTATTTCTTAGTTGCAAATTTCTAAGCACTTTCCCTAGTGGTAGCTACAAGAGGCAACCTCCATCATTGTCTGCTTTCCTATTCTCAGAACAAATCTGTCCAGTATTGTGAATCTTTTTCAGCCCGGCAGAAACACAACTCCATGTCAGAAGAATATTCAAACTTGGCTGGAAAAAAGGTATCATGTAACTGAAAACTTTTAAAGGCACATTAGATGTATATGAGATATAACTGTATGCAAGTATGCAATCACTTCTGTGGTTTTCTCTAGATGAAGAAGTTCTCCCTGAAAAAGCTATCATAAGACATTTAAGAAACGACAAATCTTTCTTTCAGATATTAGTTTTTTAGGGTCACTTGAGAAGATAAAATACCTGTGTTAAGAAGCATAAGGAAAAGAGTTATTAAACTGTTTTACAGCAGTTGAAAGGCTTAATACTTAAGCCCTAAAGCCTTTCAGCAACACTGAAGAAATCCTTACCAGTCCATTAGTATGATTACACATGTCCCATAAAGGTATTAGAGCCAATGTAACTCTGGAACCATCTTCTGTTGGAATCTGGTTCTGTCTTGTCATAACAGAGGAAACCGCCCATCTACAAAAATTAAAACCATTAGATGGTCAATGTTCAAAACATCAATATATGATTGGCTGTAGTCCAACCTGAAGCAATCATTTAGGTTGGGAGTTCCCAAACTTAGTTTTCTTAAAGATCACAGTGACTAGAGCAACAGGAGAAGGCAATACCACTTGCAGGAGAAGCAGCAGCTCCTAGGTTTCCAAGATATGCACACAGATCAATTCCCAAATCAGGATTGAAATCCCACCCCTCTTCTGCACTCTTTGCAACAGAACCTTCATACCTTCCATTACCTCAACCAGGACCCACTCCCATGTCACCTTCTGCTTCCCCAAGCCTTCAATGCACACATACCTCTCACCACACATCCCAAACCTGGGGTCAGCTATTCCTGCAGGCTTCACAGTAGTTCACAGCTACTGCTTGGCAGCAGTAGCTCTCCTCTACGTGCAGACTCCAGTAAGAGCCAGGAGGTATTTTTCCCCTCACTCCCTAAAAAGCTGATGTACTGCATGTACTGAAAACCAGTGTCATCACCTGACACATGCATGATATTTTGGTAAGCGTGTCTCTTCAGTTTGCGAACTTTTGGCTTAGATCAGTATTGCTAAATTTTCTGCTTAACAGAATAAAGAGGAAAAAAAGCCCCAGTATCCCAAACAGATATCCAGGTAAAAAGAATGACGAAAGCATAACAGTTTAGCAGACAGACGTCATTCAAATTCCTTCTAACTCAGGTTAAGCAAAGGAAACGCCAGCTACCCATTCAAACTTAAGAATGCTCAGAAAAGCTTAACATTTCAGTATTTTCTAAAATTTCATTTTTATTTTATTTCAGACAGAAATGAATATTAAATGCCAGAGGTAAAGAATAATCTTAGTTTCACTATCTTCTGGCCTTAATACATATATTTGTTGTGGGTTTTTGGGAAGGGGGGAGGGGGAATGAGGAAGAAAAAAAGGAACACCACCAGGAGAAGGTCAAAATAATTTTAACTCCCACTGACTCCACTACTAACAAGTATTTAATATACAGAATTAGACTTTCAGAAGGACTAGAGATTGCTTAGAAAGATACCGTCAAACTGAAATCCACTTAATTTCTAAAAAAGCAAGTTAAAATTGTGGATAATTCTGATATGCAAACACTGTTTGAAATATAATAGCAATATGTTTATTTTTAATTCTTGTACTTTATCTGCAAAATTTTAGACCACTTCACATGTAAGTTGGCGTGTTCCTCTGTGACCCTGTAAGTGAAGGAGGTATGCTTTGGAAATCCCACTTTCATAGACGTACAACTAGGCTAAAAAAAAAAAAAAATCCCTCTAAGATCTCATGAATGCCTTTTATTCATGCTATTTTAATCACTTAACAGAATTAAAGCTCTTGTTATCTTAATTATTCTTGTTTTTATCTTAATTGTGTCACCCCCTATAGCACCTCCAAGTGACACTCATGCTTCACATGTACAGCTTAAGTTCTCCAGTTCTCCTGTTCAACAGTCACTGTACATTAGTTTTTACTACTATGTGCTGGTAAAGCCTTTTATAAAAAAGAAGAAAAAAAAAAATCCCGAAACCCAAACCCCAAACCTCCTGTAACATCAGCTGAATTATTTTCTTAAGAAACAATGAATTACCTTACTAATCTCAGACTATGTGTGCCAGTTGGCTGAATTAACTGCTCATAATGACTATTCCTTTGTAACAATTAAAATCTGCATATTTATTTTACTTTATTCTTCATTAAGAAAGTATATTAGTATCAAATCCTACATTTCAATAACAATAGGGCTTTCCCACCAATGAAGCATTTCCAGGGTCGCACAGTTCACTATTTAAAAAAAAAGAAAAAAAGATAATTAAAAGGCAGACCAACCTGTAGTCATCATAAGTGAAAGAATCCTTTAAGGGCAGTTTGCTGGCATTAGGATGGGTCTGGGAAATGCAAGTTTCAGAAAAAGGTGAAAAGAGAAAGAAAAGAGAAATCAGAAATCAGTCAGCAGAATTTCATTATTTAGCTGCCTAACAGATCCTAACAAGAGCCAAATGAAGCAGGAGGCATCCAGCCGCGCTACAGAGGGATCATCATGCTATTATGCTCTCATACATCACTGTCAACTTAATTTGTTGTGCCCAGCAGCCGCCATAAATCTGTTTCTTCATATTTCAAGACTGGAACCCACAGACATCGTACAAAAATAAAAAATTTAAGGTGGACTGAGTATGTGAAGGTAAAACAAAACCCAGCCCATGGTGCAGGGTGGGAGAAAGAAATCAGACAATAAGCATATTGAACATTAGGTTTCACCAACTTCCACATTTTTCCTTTTCTCTGGGGTATTATTAATATATTTCACCAATGCAAATAAAAATTATACATACAAGATTTTCAATTCTTCCTCGATACCTGTAAAGGTTTTATTCAGTACAAGATGCACCACACCTCCGAAATAAAACAGATTAAAATATTTAAATAGTTTTGGTGACAAACATCAATTAGATAGTACCTGCATTAAGCCATCTACACATACTCCCATCTAAAAGTGGAGCAATGCCATTTGAGAACCATACTATAGTTGTCACTAATAAGCACAACGTTTAGATTTTAAAAAGGCTTTAAGAAGCTGTAATACCTGTTACTTTTCTGATCAGTTAACTTACTAAAAGTTTCAAAAATAGAGGTAGCTTTAAGCCCACACTCACACACTTTCTGTAGAACTTTGTCCCAATTCACAAATGGAAAGCCATAATAGCATAAATTCTAATCTTCAGGTTCAATTTGGTCTCCGAGACAAATTGAAATTATCAAACGGTTATTTCAGAAGGTACAAATGATTTTTTGCATAGCTCTATCTTTGCGACACTCTTAATGCATGAAGCTCCATGTAGTATGCAGTTTTTTACTCTTGATGCATTAGCATCACAAGTGCATGGTAATTTATCATTTCTCACTGTAATGTACTTGCTGGCACTGCGTGCAGGACAGTAGGGGATGAGGTAAAAGTGGCTCAAACCGTAAATCAATTAGAAAACAAAAGCTTGTGCTCAGTGCGCAATTTTAGGCAAATTATATATTACAAAAGACTGCCAATTGGGTGTTAGGTCCCAGGTGTCTGTTCTCCCTCAGCCCCTCTAGTTAACCCTTTGGATGGACTTTCTCTGAGACGTGACAGAAGTTAACAACAATTCCAGCGACTGCTGCCCCCTCCCTGATTTTTTTCTTTTTTTCTTTTTAAAGCACTCTACATTTCCGTATGATTTTCGTTCACATCGATGATACGGTCATTGCAGAACAAATTCCCTCGAGTTTAATTCTAGCAACACATTTTACAGAGTTATTTCTTCTTACAAAAACATTTCAGTGCAAAACCATAACTGAAACCCAAACCAATAAATTTCAGGAGGTATCTTCACTGCAGTAGAACAGTTCAGACTCGATTCCAGAAATGAACGTAGAAACATAGCCTTCAACTGGAAACAACAATTCTTAAAAACAAACGCCACTCTATATTATTCCTTTATGACAATTCAATTTCAACCTTTATTGCTAGTATTATAAATCTATTTTACAGTAGCTTGATAAACTAACCAGGGAAAGTCAACACCAACAGTGAGACATATAAGCCTATCAGTTTCACTTTAAAAATATTACAACATTTTCATCTGTTACGTTACTATTTGTTGCAAAAAGTCGGAATCTCGTTCTGCACCTGAAGTTTTTAAAGAAGAAATTTTACACGAACGGAGAAGTTAGGATCCCTTAAAAATCCGGATCTTCACCGTTCCATTTCTTTGCAGACCATGCGCCTAACTTGCGTGGAAACGAGCCTCGCTCAGCTTCACCGCTCCCAAACCCGCACCTCCCACCGCGCTCCC